ACATAGAACATACCACGTATCGTATTTATTAAGAATCCATTCAAACACAATGTCTGCAGACATCTAGTATGATTTGCTGGTTATTACTTTAATTTCCTCACTCTAACATCATAGTGAAAATAAAGTATTGGATGTAAGTAATTAGCTCGCAAGCTATCATTTCTTTAGTGCACTACACTCAATTGAATTAGAATCTAAATTATTCATACGTGATATAGTTATAACATTATCGGATAAAACACTACCCTGGGGACAGAAATGGCATGCCTTCGGTTCATGTACATTGCGAATCTGGGGACGCGTAATTTAAATACTGTTTTTAGTTTTAGTGCTCACACAATCAGCACGTACAATAATAACAGTCAGTCAGTCGCTATTTTGTTCTCGATTGTTTTTCACCGAGAGCGTATCGATAATAATAGAAAATATTGGATGTGCAGCAATTATTCATAAAGGTTAATGTAAATCCGGTGACAAGTGCAGAAAATTAATGCACTGCCGTGGTTTGATGTGGGTGTTATTGGCAACTAAGTTTTGCTTGTCACTTGTGAGACTCTTCAAATACGCACTCTACAGTAAAAGCAAAACGCAAATAGTATAAACTTACAAATGCACATGCTTTGAAATAATTTACTAGTTTAATTTATTACACTTTGTACATGTCAAGATAATATTTATCTATCATCACACTGCATTTCAGTTAAATCTTTATATTCGATCCTGCTTGCCTACAAGGGCGATATTTTTTGTTGTTGCTAGAAACCAGTCGTTGTTATACTAATTTATTACAATAGTACTACGACATTTCAATGACGTCGAATTGTGTTGAGCAAAGACAGTTCACATAATCATTCTACAGATCAACGAAAGTCTTAACAATGCCGAGGTTTATATTATCATATACTTGATATGTTATGCGGATAACAACTTTCTCAATCTTGTGCCAACACCTGTTTTGTAATCGGATAATTCGAGGCACGAGTGATGCAATTCAACTTCATTACTTTTCAATTTGTTGGATTTACCACACAATGAATAATGCGGATATATGTATGACGAAGTTAGCTTCAATTCCAAGCAATTGTAATATTAGATTTTTCCAATCATCTCGATTCACCACTTTCTTTCCTGGGCAGCATTTAACTGCTACCAGTTTACGAATTATTTGGGCTATTACATTGAAAACATTTTCCGACGCAATTAAACTAGAGGTCAGCTAGGTTCATTCGCTATTCTAAACGATATGACTATATAACACAAGAAATACTATCATATGTTTACTGCCTTATTGATTCATTCTTCAGTCATAATAACTAATATCGGTATTTGGTGATTGGCGCCACACTTGCCACCTGTATTTAGTAACTATCTGCCATGGTGATATATTTAAGCAATGAATTTCAGACCGCAGTTGTTTAGCCTGTTTTGTTTAGATTAAATGCTAAGTGATTTGCACTTGTATACACACCACGATTCAACCGACTGGTTAGACACAACGATGTCCTCCAGTTTTAGTTGTATTTGGCACTCTATGGGGTAATTCAAACCAGTTTACGTTACTGACTTATACTGTCATAATAGTTCATATTAACAGTCTTGCTTCTAAACATGGTATACTGTTATTTTAGCACAGTGGGGAATGATATACTATGATATAGTAAATCAGTCAGACCGATGTATTCAATAAATTGACATAGACATTAGTGAACAAATAGTTGACGAAACTATCCACTATTTGGGAGCAGTAAAGAACTAGTGAACACTGTTCATTACCAAGACCTTTCATATATTAAATTTCATTTGAAAATTACGTCGTTTAATAGTACACAAGTGTTCAATTCAGTACAATGCAACCACTGCAACTACTTAAATTAGACATAAACACTAGTATGTATGATGACAGTGTTGTGAATTGACAGGGTGTAATGGTTAAATTATGTAATATATGAGTTTTGTAAAAACCATAGTCGAGTTTTGCGATTATAGAAAATAATATGGTAGGCTTTTTAACTGGTATATTACATTTGTGAATGCGTCTTTCCAATGCTATTTATAGTCAACATAAGTTTGATTAGTATGACCTTATGTCATGCTGTAGCAATTTCAAATACTCGTGGGCGCGTTTATGTATACAGAAGCAATTAACCAGCACGGAGGCGGGTATACCACGAAATGTTGCACAATTCACGACATATGCACACAAGCTGGGCACTGAAAGTAGCACACAGCGATTATAGAAACATCAAGCAGTGGAAAAAAATCGCACTCGTAGTAGTTTCTTGTTAGCATCAACGTTGATATATGTGACATTTTGTGAGTTGACATGATTTCAAAGATATACTGACGCCGATAAGGTCGTACACACGATTGCTTTTCGATGGTCTACACAACTTCAGGGTTCACGAGCGAGCCACTCCGGACGGTAATAGTTTTGTAGGCGTCGTTGGCGTAATAGTTCGATATATGCTACCATTTTGGATATATGGCTTGTGTGGAATCAGGTTGCGTAGTTTGATATGTGCCACCATTTTGGATATATGACAAACGACGTTTGTACAGTCTGATTGAGTATTCACTAGATACATTGACGGGTGCTCAAGATAGAAGCAAAAATGTGAATGTTAGTCTAATAAGTTAATTACCTTATAGCCATGAAGTCATATTAACGTCAAATTCTATTGAACAATTTTGCTCGGCATTTTTGTTATGACTTGCCGATCGATATCGATCGATAAAAATCTCATCCAATTACAAGAACAATTAAAAGACATAACAATTAATATTATATTTCTCAATTTATCTAAAAACATAAAACACATTACCGCAAAAAAATGTCTGTCAAACAATCTCTGAGAACAAAATCATTAAACAAATGAAAGAAGTTATATGTAATATAGAGGTGATGTCATCCCACGAGTGACCCCACAAAAGCAATACACTCACTTAAAATTGAAGAAAATGTTTCGCAAATGCATATCGATTTTACGATAAGTGTAATTTTGATTAGATTCTGGCTAAAAATGTATTGGTTGTCCTCTTTGGATAATACAATAACACGTCGATGTCTGCAGATTGTTATGGCGAATAGTAACAGTACATTGCCGTCTCTGTATCGACTGATCATAAGTGAAATTAGTTCACAAGTTGAATTAAGCAATGAAAACAAAAATGGCAACTAAAATTGCAATAGCGTGCCAAGTAACATAAATGTACAGAAAGTGATAAAGTGGCGCTGTAATAGTAACTGTGGGGTTATCTGGTCATATTCTAATAGTGTACATATTAGCAATATATAATTGTTTATCTAAAATATAATCGGATGGCAACATCATATGGTTTGACAATAACACTTCTTGGCTGTGCGGTGACCTGAATATGTTTTGAGAGCATGCATATTATACTTTGAATCAGTAGGTGCTCTTAATATATTGTACTACGGTCTTACGTAATAAGGTAAATTACCTTACATTAAAGAGCACACAGTTTCCGAATTGTATAGATTTATGAGATATTACCTGATGCACACGTCTGAACAAAATGTCATTGCTATGGTTACGAATTGTCTAATGGTTATTTGACTTACCATAATGATCATTCATAGTGGTTCCCCATTAATAATTGCCACAATAAATCAATCAATTAAAATATAAACGTTTAAAAATAAATCTAATATCCGTTATATACAAACGAAATGCCTAATATATTATTTTGCAGCAACATTTTTGTATATGTGTGAGGTATTTCATTCTTTCAGTAGTCTCATACATTATGGTAGTTGCCTACTCATATTTGTTTGAGAAAGTTTGCCATAAATGACAATTTCTAGTGTATTTTTATTGTGTACAATCATGGCGATGCAGTTCTATGGTGACATGAATCTAATATTCTTTTGTGTGTTAGTTATAGTACCGTATTTTGCAAAAAAATATCTAATATTCATTATTTGTGAACATTTCAAGTATCTCAAACAAAAAAATGTTGAAAAATTGCATTTATTGTCATTTTGTGAAACTCGGATTTTTGAAATAATTTAGGATAACGAGATGCACCCGATCAGTCACGATATATTTTCACGATGTGTTTCATCACATGTCACCAGCCTACAATTTGATATATGGCATAGTGTCCATGTAATATTGGTAAAGATACTGATAAAATTTCTGCCACTACTAAATACAACCAAAATTCTCTTAAAAAATAAGATTATGAACCCTTATTTAGATATTTCTCTAATACAAATATGTTTACATACTTTTAGTAATACATTTACTGTTATTAACATTGGTATTTTACAGAGTCGTTGAATACCCTCATCTAATCTAACGTCCATGGTACAAAACAACGCGTCCGGTAGGGGGAATAGAAACTATGCTTTATACCATGTAACGCTATGTATCAATATTTGTATAAATTATTCAAATACTTCAGGATATCGAGTTAAAGTCAGTCGACTGTTCATTCACTTGAACCTGCAAACTACAAGGAAATGCTCTATAATATACGAAATATATTCTAACCGCTACAGAGTACACACGTCGTCAGTCTATGAATAGTCTCATTTTTTAAGAGGAATCCAATCACAGTTCAAGTGAAAACATAAAGCAATCACGATAATGGTCTCGTTTCTGAGACAGGTAATTAAACTTTCAAGCAATTAGGCTGGCTTCTTTCACTTTTTTCCAAATTTAATCTTCACCAGTCGTAGACTTAAAATGGCAGTCTCCTTTCAAACATACAATACCCGCTAAACGGGTGAGTGAATAAAATAGGATAATTTAATAAAATGTGAGTCAGTTTAAATGAAGGTACTGTTCAAGTCCAATGCACAGTGCATAAAGGTCAATCCAGCTACTTCTGATCGGTAAACAATAACGTTCAATGTTTCACCTTGCTTGATTACCAAATACAAACACTCTAAGCACATGATAAAAGTGAGAAACAAGTCAATCTGGTCAAACGTGATAAGCTACTTCTATTTATTTAATTTCTTTTCTTCCTAGTCTATTCACCGCGAAATTTATGTGGAATTTCAAAAAGGTAATGTTTTATTAGCTTATAATGAACGATAGAAAAACATTTTTCACCAACCTTTGTGTTTAAATTGATAACTGGTAGGAGTTACTTAAACAAACCGAAATTGACATGTTATTATAATGAATACGCCGATACGTCTATTTAATTATAGCGCGACTAACGGAAGTACGATTGTGTGAGAAATTAATGCATTTGCGGCCCACGTTAGCATTTGCTGGGTTATATTGATATGTAAATTAAAGTTTTTTTGACGCACAATTAAATATTTATATACTAACAACAGCCAATTTTTGTCATATTGTACCATTTGAATATAACACTCAGCGAGTAGTTCTATATAAATAAATACGGAAATAAATTATTAGTCGCAGTTATGTAATTATGTAATAATTAACTATTATAGTGAACGGTATTTCCAATATTATACATAGAATATTGTAATTGTTCTCTCTGTAATTCTGAGGGCTCTTCATCACAAGGTAGTCATAGTAGCTAGAGATTCCCATTGTGTACATTTTTCTGTTCCATTAAGTGACATAACTATCCTTTCAGAATGAAATCAATCCAGCTGGCCTAGTTACATGTACGTCTGGCAGCCAATAGAAATGTGTCGCCTTAGGGTATACTAGTGTATTATACAGCTTTTATTCACCCGTCGTGGTTTACCATTAGTTATTACTTTAGGCTGAAGTATCCGCAATTACCGAATCATTTTAATTCTATCCATGGTTTGAGAAATCTTTTCTGTCCCTCGGCAACTATTCCCTTTATAACATTCACTCAATGATATTATTACCAGTGTCGAGATAATTTCCTGCCGCAAACACGATTTTCAATATCAGTATTGCTCTTTAAAAATAAACAGGAATAATGTAAGTTTGTCGTCAATGCCAACCACTGTTGAAACGCTTGAGTATGGTTACTCAATACCGCGAATATATTGAATAAATGGTTATTTATGAAACATAATATAATCCAATAATTGATAATTGTTATTTGTCGCAGTAACCCGGATGTCCTACGACGTATACTAAACGACAGTTATGATAATCAGATACGACCGAATGTTACAGGTAATGAATGCATTATGTTATGTGTCTGTATACTACTCTCAGACGGTTTCATCTATTTTATATTACATTCACGTAAATATTCATATTGGCCACACAATGTATACACAGAGTGCTGACAATGAAAAAAGCACAACACTTTGTATTCAAAACGTCTGCATTGTTCATTCTAAGTATACGATTACGGACTGTGCATGGAATGTAAATCAAATATGTCTTGTCTGTGACATTCTGCAATATAATGACATGCAGTGAACAGTAAGTAACACGTGCACAATCGTTTGCCTGAATTGTTACATAAGATATACATCTTAACCTATTTCAACATAGGTAGATGATGTTTATTCATATTTATATGAATGCGAGAGACGAATGGCATACACAGATTTCCAAACGACTGATCACATCACAAGCACTCACGCAATAATAGGTTTTGCACACGAGTCGTGTAAGTGACTTTACCCCCCCCCAAGTTAGAACATTACGTCATCTAACACCTAGATTAATTACAATAGTAACGGTGCAGTTATTGTTCGTTTCAGGTCCTGCAATTTCTATAAGTGTCTATATGTTATTGACTAGTATTCACTCAATATCGGAAATATCAATGGTGAGTTCTCAATATTATTACATACGTACTGCAGAATAGTCAGTCATTTGCGTGGAATATCATTGGCATTGTCTGTCACAGATGTGCAAACGCGGTCGATCATCTTCTGATTCTGAGTTATCTGTGCAGTTTTTGCATACCTCAATTACCAATGTGTATTTTGAAACCCAATTTATACACGTTGTTATCTGTGATAGTTGTTTATGTTTGAATAAACAACAACTAAAAAACAGATTGAAAAAAATAATTGTGACAGAAATTACATTCTCCGGAGGCCGAATCGCGATCGATGTTTTACTGTCATTAAAAGTGATATTTATTATATCCATGTTAAAATACATATAAAGAAATCCTGTGTCATGAGAAATGCCCTTGGGTTATGTTTCTATCTCACATTTTGTCCTGTTTGATGCATTTGCTGGTCGTCATTTTCGTCTCTACTTCATTATGGTATGCGCAACAATGAACACGAATCTGTCAGCATGGCCATTTACATGAACGCCAGATTAACCGATTATTCGACGTAATTGCGCGCACTCACATAAACAACTTGGAAGAAGCGGGTACGACTTCTGGCCATTTAGAAAGTTTAAGAACATATGTAATACTAACACAAAAAAAAAACAATCTTTTCTTGAGTGTGTTGGGCATGCTAATTATGCGAGTGTTCGTTATACACATGCTACAGTCGCACGATACACCGTATCACTCCCACAACCCACACGCGTCAAAGCGAGGCTATGGCGTTATGGCATATAACAACGACTAGTGCAATGTCACGCCATGGTATATATTGATACAGCATGAAATTAACTCACTAGTGAAGTATATAATATTAGTATATTTAATACGAATTTAATATGAAGTATATAATATTAGTATATATAATACGAATTAATGCTTGTTACAAATTAATGCTTGTCACACGAGCGGATTTACAATATTATGAAATTATTAAATGCCTTCCTATGGTAATAATAATTTGACAGCGCGACAAGCGAATATGTTTCAAACTATAGAGGGCATCCTTTTAATTCTTCAATGACATCCCTGTGTCACATAAAATTGAAAAACAACGACTGCGTATTTATTACAATAATTACTGAAATAATTATATTCGATGCTCAATTATTGTTTTTTTCATACAGGATTATGGCGTGACCATGTTTTTAACGCAGGAATGGATTGATCCCCGACTATCATTTAACGGAAGTGACTCAGTTGATCTTAGATCAGGCTCCGAGCTGGAGGCGAGTCTCTGGACACCGGATCTATATTTTGTTAATGTAAAGAAAGGCGAATTACACGAGGTAACGATGACAAACAAACAGATACGGGTGTACCCAAACGGACAAGTTATATATGATATCAGGTAAGAACACTGATAAATAATGTCAATGTCATGAGGTCTGAATAGAGAATAGTAACAGCTATATTTGATATATGCAATTATTGCGGTGGAGTGTGTGTGTGTGTGTGCATTTGAGATTATCAAAATGAATACGCACAAATTCAAATGCTGTTCCAAGGTATCAGGTTTTGTTGATAGTGATTTATTATAACACCCATTTTTTGATCAGTGTGATAGACAATGAAAATAATACTCTGTGACATTATCCCATATGTAATTATCACTATTATGGTCAAGGGTGTTAATCCTTCGTAATACGATTGCGCATATGGGTTTAATTACCGGTGATGTAGACATTGTAAATGATATCGTAGTAACTGTTTCTTTATATATTTGCAAACATATCAATCAAATTCAATGCTGACGTGTGCAGATGCACTGAGTTGATTGCACGCTGTATTCAAGGCTGACGTGTGCAGATGCACCGAGTTGATTGCACGCTGTATTCAAAGCTGACGTGTGCAGATACACTGAGTTGATTGCACGCTGTTAACGTCGTCATTTTTTTGTTAATTTCAGAGCAAGCCTTACATTGATTTGTTACATGTACCTTCAACGATTTCCAATGGACCAACAGAACTGTGGTATCGATTTGGAAAGCTGTAAGTGAAATTATATTTCAATTATTGATATGGGAACTAATTTGATATGAATATCTCGGGTATATGATGGATACTGTCCTACAAAAAATCGATTTGTTTTGCATAATATTTGATGATGGATGTGTTTATTTCATGTCGGTCACGTGGCTTCTTAATTTGATGACAGGTCCGTCACTAGCATCACCACACATGTGTCAACTTGAAATGACATTTCTATTTCCAAAGCAGTGGCTTAATAATTTTTGAAATCCTTTCAAAATTACATTTCTCAATAATGATTGACTTTTCCCATTACCTAACTAGCATCGAGTTACTTTACTTCAGCGCAAAATTAAGGCGATTAGCAGCGTGTGACCCAAATCAGTGTGTATTGCCCTTGTATTATAAGAAACTAATAAACGTAAATCCCGTGGCATTGTCTTGTACTTGTTAGCAGTTGATGAAAATATCAAAAAATTACAAGTGAAAACGCGCGATGTCGTTGAGCTTGCTTTGATTACAGATAATACAAAGTCAGTTGTTTTCAGTTCGAACTACCGAGATATGACATGTTGCTTGTACTGTGAGTTACTCACTGACTCACACGGCTCTCATTCACTGAGATTAGTTTGCGTTTTTGTATCAGGCTGTATTTATATATTATAACAATTTTACGCCCTATCAAATCCACAACTATACCAGGTAGCACACCCAGCCGGCAAGGGACCCCAAAGTCGCATTCTTTGAATTAATTTCAGTAAGTGCCTTTGACCCTCCCATTTTGTCTGTTGAGTCTGTGCCGTACTAATGATCCTGTTTACCGAACGATTCATTTTTGATGTTCAGCCTCAGGCAATAAATGGAAACATTTAGCAACGATTTCGTAAAGTGCATACTAATGGTATATACATGTAGCTATATATAGAAATCTACATGTTAAATACGTATTGACAAATTGACATCACTTGAAGAATGCATGCGTTTAGTGACTGCGTTTTCAATGAAGCGAAAATGGGGGCATATATAGGACATCTTAAGTTCTCTTTTGTCATTCTAGTTGTATTAATGTGATTCGTCATAGATCTCAGATAAATGTGACAGTATTGATATAGATATGTAGATTTATAATAAAATATACGATCGAAGCATATATTGAATTCGTGTGACAACCATACAATATTGTAATCAAATATTATTCAGAGCTACGCTGACGAAGCAATGCGTATTGAGCAACGTGAAAACACATTTCCAGCTTTATACACAGTACACACAATCCCTACACCATGATTAGCAAACACAGGATGTATGTGTGCTATTGTCTGTGTTTTTGTGTATCATTGTCGACATTACTTCACGAAAAATCGCCAAAGGATGCTGACTGTGAAGTCGAACACAGGCTTAGTGATCAACAGATCGTATAATAATCTTAATATATTTTATTTAATTCTTTACAAATGACAAATCCTAGACAATAATGATATAAAATATAGATACACTTATATCGGCATTTATCATCATATCCCGAATAACGAGTTTAATTATTCAATTAATATATTTCAATCAGTGACTGTGTATATCGTCATGGTTATAAAGGACACAACTAAAACATTGGTGCCTTAAGACATATTGTCCACACTACAATATTGATAACATTCAAGTGTCGCATGTTATATAGATGTGAACGTCCATAAGATATACATATACACTTTCCATCGTCGTTCGCTTTAGAACATGTACATTCTGTGATACCCTGATAAGATGTATTCACCTCAGAATCCCCACAATACCTTGCTAATGGCTAGTACTAGTGTGAAGTGTGTCGTATGAATGAAGTTTTCTCCTAAATCGCAGTCTCTTTAATCGGAATTAAAAGCCGTAAACTAACAGTGTTTATCGTGTATTTTTAATACACAATCTAAGTAAAGAAAAAATATTAAGTACTATGCTTATTCATTTTGACGTATGACATTTGAGAGAATTTAATGTGTTTTGACTAGAAGCTGACTCGTATATTCGAATGCAGTTGATGTCATTACTATGCCGCATCGTTTGTCATTTATTGCTTTGAATTCAATGGTTGTGGCTTCCATCAAATTACATATATTCTAGAATGATGGTAGACACCAACATATTTTAACCAAATACTTTTATAGCTGGTATCCTCGGTATCCTGGTATCCTCGGTAACAATCGTTACTTGGTAGTACATGTGAACGTCGATTTTGTACTCGATATACTGTATTCTTTCAGGTCTTTGAGAGCACGTAGTTATGACAGGTCTGTCAGTCTGATATTCTGGACGAGACGTGAACATTGAAATCCATGGCATCATGATTACAGTCGCTGATATATGCTGTATTTCATTCTTGCCAATATTTCGCAAACGTTACAACAAAGGCTTGAACGGCGCTTTTATTAAATACTCATACACTGTTTTGACATATATACCTTGTTAGCCGAAATTAATAGTTTTTGTTTTACATTTCACTGACTGCACCAAACGATACTACTTGTACCATTTGAAAGACATTTTTGTGATCCTTTAGTTTTGAGCGGTTTGAATAAATATGATGAGTATTTTCCGCGTGGATCGTCCATGATTAAGCGGAAAACAGACACCCATAAGTAGTGCATTACGATAATTGTTATCATCAATATCGTGCATAAGATATCTTGCGCATGCGTGTCGCAACGACCACCGCCACTTAACACACTAAACACGCTACCAAACTAATTTGTACATTTGCAAGCTATGATTGTGCGTCGACTAAAATTATGCAGCATGAAATTCAATGTATATTCCGTAATCACGTATTGTACAATCGCTATCAGAACCTAACGTGTTGTGTTTTGTAACAAATACACAGATTAAAATGATTACATATGCCAATTACGTATTTCCCGCCGTTCTCATGGGCCCAATAAAGGCGACACACATCCGCATGATAAATAATTTAACCCATAAGTTATGTAATTCATCTCTCTAGTTGGATACACCACGAGGGACGTTATGCTACAGTGGCATCCTAATCATTCGGTTATATTACCACAGCTTGTCATGCCTGGATTCTCGTTGAGTGTTCCCGACACTTCTGCTATAATTCAAGAGTATCCGATGGGTAAATATATTTAATTCTTAGTCACACTTTGTTTTGAACTACGCCAGGTGTCCACTGACAGATGATCGATCACATCGTGACCAATTGTAAAATAAATAGATGAACATTAAACACAGCTGAATATCCCTGTATGATGTGCAAATACGTCCATTTATCGCAGTTGAGTGTTAAACTTGCCTAGTCTGAAGAACCATTCGGATCATTTTCTATTATGATTGATTGATCCGACTAGTGAATTCTATGAATACTATGAATACTAGCGAATACATATCTACGTCAGACTAAAATTAGTGTAACACATCAATAAAATAAAACTAAAACACCAACTAACAACACGGTTTGTCAAAGTTGAGATAGCATGTGTGCATTTAAATGTTGTCTTTTATATATTACCGGGCTGGTCCCTGGTTGCCACCGTGTTAATGGGTTACTGGGTACGTAGCCATATTAATTGCACGATGGGTTGTTGAATCGTTCGTTGCCTCCTGCAATCTAACAATCAAAACCCCAGCTTCGATGCCCCAGTGATAAAAACCGCTGGCGGTAGCCATTTTTTTATGGTCGAACTAGAACAGTTCGACATCACTGTAGTAGGTACTCCTTGTACTGACCCAAGTCATTTGAAAAAGGACTTTCTACTAAATTAGGACCATTTTCGAAAACAGAAAAGAACAGTAAATACAAAGAAACCCATAGAAAAATGCTAATAATAGCAAAGTTTCCGTTGTCCTTGTTACCATAGTGACGTCTTCTGGCCACATAAGGTTGTTTTCGTTCGACCTGAAGAAAATGGCTTCCACTGGAGTTACGTATGATCTAGTGACTTAAATTTCAGGAATACAACATCAAAAGATTATTGTTTGCTTTGTTTTTCACTCTGGTGAATGTTTAACAAACATATTATCGATTGGTGATAGTTTGGATTGTGTGATTTGTAGAAATAAAAAGTGCTTCCATCGACGTTTATTTGCGACACACGCTATCGCCTTTCGCAAGCCTGTGGAGGAACCATGGTTTTTCTGTTTCAATAAAACCAAATATTCGAAAATAACAACTTTGAAAATTGGAATTACACTATAAATAGGTAGCAAGGTTGCATTAACACCTGGCTCACCTAGAGTCATTACTGCTCACTAATCGCTCCAATAAACTGCAAAAACATATGCATAGATTATTTAACACAACAAATGTGTGTATTTGTGAACTTCAAAATAATAATGCGTTTGATAATATTAACTGTAACTCAACTACGTTGACTTGTTGCTACACTATACTACACTATACTACACTATACTACACTATACTACACTCTACTACACTATACTACACTATACTACACTATAACCAATTCAAACAGAACTTGTTGAACTTTGACATGAACAAATGTCACCACAATCAAAACAATACACAGTCTTTGTTCGTAAACAAGTTATCTGAATAGTAACTATATGCAAATGTTTACTTCCTGTGCACATTGAACGATTGACAGTTGGTAAACTATAAGTGCCGCCTAACCAATGGGTAAGAAAAAAACTGACACAAGAAGAGTTATAAACCTATTTTATCTGGCTGATCCAACCATATGGAATCAGAACTATTACAGAGATCACAGATAACTGGAGACAATTGAAATAATAAACACATATTCAGGTCATATTAGATACATTAGCGGTTACATATCATCATCTAGCCATGCATGGACTATTACAACGAATTAGATACTGAATAAAACATGTACTTATTCAAATCATAAATGATGAAGAGTTTTTATTTCCCAATCGATAAAGATAATTGAGTTCCTGCAGTGTATAGATTAGAATCATATCATTTATCAGTTGAAAACCGATTCAGGGTTATTCATAGTCCGTAATTCACAATTACTGCATGTATGAATAGCTATCCTGTCAGGACCAGTTTAATCTGGTCTATAGCATTGCCGAACATGCAATTATGTTAGACTGGATTTAGTTAGATTTTTGAGATAGGGATGCTCCGCAGCCAGTTGAAAACTGAATCCCAAAAGATCGACGTTCAGGCTATTTTTGGTTCACAAATTGCCGTATTCACCAAAAGGAAGATCAATGTTTTGCTGAAATGACTGAAATTCTTGGTCATGACGGGGGGGGGGGGGGTATCACCGCTGAGACATGTTCTTATACAATAAATTCAGATTTTCTGTATAAAGGGCGAAAGTGGTCGCGCCTCTTATTTGGTTCCATGCGACGTACGCAAAGCCTTTCATTTACATTAATTGTTTACACGAAATTTGACATCCTGAAACCACAATTCTGAAAGTAACCAAATGTTTAATTTACGATATTTACTTATTTCTAGGACAATATTCTCGACTACACTGTATGTTTAACTTAGAACGAGAGCTGATATTCTACATCATGGAGCATTATGTACCTTCATTCCTTCTGGTTATATTATCATGGGTGTCGTTTTGGTTAAGTGTGGATGCTACACCTGCCAGAGCTAGTCTTGGGATCACCACTGTACTTACATTGACAACATTAAGTTCAGGAGCAAGGGTCGAGTTACCAAAAGTATCTTACACAAAGGTAAGGAAGAGTCGTTCTACGTTCGCATGAGACCAATCATGGTCACGAGATGTCCTAATACGTGTATAAAAGATACCTACATCTATAGTAGAAATAATATTATAATCATAATCGGCTCTGATTGGTAGAAGGTGTCGCAGGAATGATGAATTTGAGCACGTATATTTATCATATGTTGTATCATGTATTAGCAGTATTCTTTATTCGTCGAAGACATTATTAATGTCTTATGTGAATGTGAATCGAATGCTTAGTCGAATATTATTTGAGACAAAAACGAGAGTATCTCAATTAAACCAGAGCGCATCTGTTTTCATAATTCTGTAATACCAACGCAAGATAACTTAATTTGTTTTCACCATCTGTACTATTAATGGAATCGGTTGGGTTTGATGAACGAACGAGCTCACAGCTTAACACACAAAACACATATCATATCTTATGACAACTGCACAAATATACCTACAATTATATTTATCGTGATTTTCTTTATACCGAATATTTTTGTTACAAGTAGTGCATGTATTTGTAGAAAGTCTATTAATACGATTTGATCATTGAATATTGGGTTAATTGTGTAAATGATTTGAATATAAAATAGATATTAACTGCATTTCGAAAATGAAATAAAATTGGCAATATTTTGAAAACCAAAAATCCTAAATAAATGTCTGCGAATACATCATATATTCGCAGATATTTGACATGAATCTCAATGTTGACAAAACCTCTGAAAGCATAATTTTGTGACATTCCATTGTGACTAAATTTAAATTGTTCATTATAACTAGTATGGAGTTCTCTCCCATAATGCATTGTGAATATGTGCAGTAACATTCTCAGTAGTGCAAGATTTGAATTCGGCTTCAATTAAAGCGGGAGGGTCATCACCTGCACACGCGCGGGATTTGAGACCCAAGCGACACAACACACGCTAAAGACGCAAAGGCTCATGGGTAGACGCTTGTTTGTAAACAATGACACGCTATGGCCATCTGACGCATGCGTAGGTGACGACTCCCCCGCTTTATTGCGTATTAGTTTACATAGTGTCTTTACGCGAGGCATGGCGTTACTGCCCGAGTTTTATTTCAACTAGAACTTCACACATATATGTATAAATAATATTAACTTGAATAATACTCAATACTCTATATCCTGGGTCAATTTGTGATGTAAGGCGATACATTGAATGATAATTCGTGATATGATGCATTATATATCAAATATATCGTACACAGTATTCCATCGGGATCAATTAAATCTCTTATCTGGTTTATTATCTACTTATCATTAATGACTTTGTGAATACTTTAATTCAGTTAGTATTGTTGGATAAATTGCAACACTTTCAAAGATGTCACGCGATTTGAAGTTTTATTGTGTCAATTTAGCACGAGGTGACTTTAAAATATACATTATTTTTATTTTTTTCTTGCTTTTATTGCAGGCAATTGATGTCTGGATGGTTGTATGTTCATTTTTCGTATTCGCTGCATTGTTGGAATTTGCAATAGCCAGCTATTTTCACAAGACCGGAGAGCGGCGACTAGTGGAAAACCGTATAAAAGAAAGACTGGTACGAAAACAAACATGATATTGAATCCAATGAGCATGGCGCCATGGAGAGTACGCTTTCTGCAATGCAATCTTAAATTTTCATTCCTACTTTTATTCCTTTTGTGCTCTTCAGAAAATCTCTCACCGACCACTACAAGCATAAGCAATTATTATAGTTTATGAGAAATCTTATCCATCAGAATGCTCAAATTAAATCTCAAAATATATGGAAACTATGTATGATTTGTGATGAAACACCACACTCTTTAGTCTAGGCTAGTTTCACTATTTGTTGGCAAAACTCAAGTGATTACAATACTCAGTAGGTGGTGTTCCGCATAAACTACAAAGTCGGAATGTTATTTTAACATACTTGTCATGCAAACATGCTCTATCTATCTTTCATATTTGGAACGTAAGATTAATATACCCCATGTAATGTAACTTGCAAAGGTACGATGACAGGTCTTTAAAATTAATACAATTCACGTTTTGGTGTCGAACATGTATACATTACTAAACTAAGTTCCTATAACTGTTCTCATGATATTATTTGTTTTTAGCGAGAATTAGTCTAATATCTCTCTACGTTTATTCACAGCATATATTACAGTCGGCCAACATATCTGAAAGAAATCGCTCGCCGTCGATGGGACGTCATACAATGGTCACAGAAATGACGAATAATGGCATAGGTTTTTATGGCTCCAATCATATGGCTTATGAAACTAGACTATATATGCCTCAGACGGAGACAAACGTCAAATCGTCGCACAGGAAAAACTTAATGAAAGCTGCGATGACAATTGATAGACTTTCAAGGGTACTTTTCCCGGCATCATTCGCTTTATTCAATATTGTATATTGGCCGACGTATCTACGAGGCTATCTCCATGGTGTATAAACTACTACAACATTTACTCCATCATATTTATAAATATCTGAAACGTAACATTTGGCCAATGTTATTCCGACTTTGATGCAGAATATAATTAAACTTGGGACCAACTTCTTGTACGCCTATATACCATATATCTTGCCGAGCGTCTTGTTTGTCTTGATAATCAGAATTTGTATTCTGTATAATATTGAAAATAAAAAAAGTGTTAAGAATATTACTTTATATTAACTATGCTAATGACGAATTGCCAACAGATGAATAGGGGACATATTAGTTAGAAATCGCCCGCAGAAAAAATGACCTTATACAAAAGTATTTAGAAATGAAGCATTGATTTCCCCCTGTCAGTTACATTTCAATCAATACATAATTTGTATTACACCTACAATGAAACATGTGATTTTTTACAATACGTACATTACTGGGCAATTATAAAACTTTTTGTAACTTATCATTGAAATATGACAACACTTATCTGGAAAATGTGCTTCAATAGAAATATAGTTGGAATCAACACCTGTAAAATACTTTAATTAGCTCGAATTAATTTTCGCTAAAAAGAATATTGTGTGTTTCGTATGGAATTTCTTGAGTTGAGAGTTGAACGTAAAATATAGGAAAATATGTATATACGCTGGGATTTATTTTCACTGAACCATCTCTTCAGTGAAAGTAGCGAAAATAAATTCCAAGCAAATAAGGTATTTTACAGTAAACATTTTATTTGGCTCTAATGAATGACAATAATTCACTTATTGACCAACATATACTATATCGAGAATATGATTCGATGTGGGATACAGATTCAAATTTAAAGTCGTAATAGATAGACGCGGATTACTGGAAATACTAATGCAAATGAGTGGAAAATCTGTGACACATCTAGTTAATGTGGGAGATAAATGTTATATTGAATGAAAACATTATATATAGGATGATATTTTGACGTGAATATAAATGATCAGTTGTGCCACCCATACGCAAAGCAATTATTTAGTTCAAATGTGTTTTCATATCTTACAAATACATTGTTGAAATATGATCGCAGCCAGCAATGTCAACTCGAAAAGGAGTCATTACCTTATAGTGAACTACACTATAGTAAACATTATTATAAACAGATTATCTACGTATTCCTAAATATTTCTTTCGATTCCGATAAATCCTCGTGTGTGTTATAATCCAAATGCAAGGAAATCTAACTTGGTGGCTTGTATTTTTAAAATTTCGATAATATATTTGCCGGACACGTTGTTACGAAAACCCGATACTCCTGAGATTGTTTACGAATGCAACAGATGAACCCGTGCAGGTTGAATACTCTATTGATGTCTAATCCTCCTGTCGCGACAATTCTTTTCCACTTGAGTTATCTCACGTTATGTAACATATTCCCCTGTGTAAATGTATGACATGGGTTGAATACCGATTATATTAGCAATATACTAAAGAGGAGTATATCGAATAACAACATGACATTACTATATAATATATACAGGTAACACGGTGTCATAACTGTCATAATTGTTATAACAATTACAAAACAAGGTTATTCATTTAACGAGCTCTCAATTGTAACATATATCTTTTCGTAATGTTAAAGACGGACGCTAGAATTAACATTATTGTGTATTACCTGATACAGTCACAGTTCCGTGAACTGAGCATAATATTTAGAGCTACAGAGCTACTTTGTGAGGTCATCCAACAATGGGCCCCCTAGGACTTAGCAAAGAAATAGATATTTCCCACTGTATGTACGTAATACGACCGCGATATCGTGCGTTATTATATTTTGTATGATACTTTTAATATACCAAACTTTAATTAGGTATGTTTTAGGTGATTGGATGGTATCGAAGGAGTCACATGTACGGCTCGACGACCACCGCCCTTTAACGTCTTGTAGTGATTTTCATGTTTCGAGCCTTTGGCGGGAAAAGTGTGAAAATTACAACACGAGGTTAATTAATCTGAATTTTATTTATTTTATGTATCAGATTCGCAACTATTCCCTCAATAGAAATTAACATCATTTGTGTGTGTGCGTTCTAATGTTATTAGCGAGTCCAACTAATTTCCATCAGAACCCTTCTCATCTTCACCCGTTTGCAGGATGTGGATTTTAAGACCATGACAATTGAAGAATCGAAATGTTATCGGCTCGTTCCAAAGCGATCACGTAGCTTTCAAACATGCACGTGTTTGGCAAATAAATGGAGAATGAAATCAACTACACTAATGTCGAGTCGGGTGGCATGAGATTAACACAAAGGCAGTAAATGTGCATATCTATCCCGTCTTCACAGTGTTCCCATTGTCAGGAGACAGCAATATCATTGTGAAGTCCTTACGGTTTGATGAATCGGTAAAATGATTACTAATTTTGGAATAAAATTCAAGAGCCCAGGTGCAAAAGAATGAGACAATTTGAAAATGTTCCTCAAGTATTTGAGGCTATACACCGCACACATTATATTTGACATCTGAAACTGCTAGAAATATTTGAATAAATATAATTACATCACATTTTCACGTAATAGAACGTTGCTACAGATGAAGGGTCATTGTCCGAAACTTCTGATTATATTGAATAATCACCAACTATCACTGTCTATGTATTATTTATATGCCCTAGCAGGTTTTCCCTTTATTGTATCCTACTGTGAAGCAATGAGGCGTACTATAAGATTGTCAGATTACTGGGAATTTAATACACTGCATTTATTACTCTGAACTACCAAATATACGCGATAAATCAGGATACAGATATGCCAGTTATTATAATGAGATATTAAATAATTACATAGCCTAAGTTTTGTTAAGGTGTTATCACAGTTCACGAACGTTTAATGATAGTTTTACGTCATAAAATAGTGTACATTCATTCCGGTCTATATTCTGTTTTCAGAACAACATTGCGGCAGTCAAGTGACTGATATACCTGTTAATACTAAATCTTCACTGTTGTTCAGTAACTATGCATATATCACTTCGAGTTCGTGTATTTTATTAACAAGAAACAAGGCCCTAACTTGTAACACTCTCAATTACCTACCAATAGAATATATATCATACAAATACATTTATCAATTTAATTTGTCCAGAGCATTTCAGTATCCATACCGTCGATGAATACGTAATCAATTGTTCACGTTTGTGACATATCAGTGGGTACATGTGCTTAATTTTGATGTAAATCTACAAGTAATAGCTCGATTTGTTATGTACTGATACATTATTCATGAATGGCAAAAATGCTATTATAGATTGAGCGGGTGACAGCAAAACGTGGTGAACAAACACATGGTATGCACAGCCGAATGATTTATTGGGGCTGTACATCTAATATGCGAATGTATATCATGAGCCTGTCAACTTGAAATTAACATCGTACACTACACAATGGGTCATATTACAATATTCTACGATGCGACAATGGAAAGCGCACTGGAGATCAATTAATTCAAACTATTCCCAGCTGTATTGAGTGCTTTATTACTTGCCACTGTGGGTGTTGGATGCTCAATTTCTAGATAAACGTGGCAACTGACTGACAGTTAAATCAAGTAACTGTTGATGCTGCGTGAACATAGAACGGAGCGGTTACACGTGCACGTTCAAAATGGTATGTATGACTCGTAATACGTGTTTAGACTGCGGGTACTAATAATAAGCTACGTGGCGTTCTGTTTTCAATCCATCTCTCTCACAATAGCATTTTTTTTTCAGACGTCCGCTATTGAAATATGGACGTTCGTGTATGTGTGACTTGCATGGCGGGCTCAGGTGTTAATTTCTAATAAACGCTCCATGCATGTCGCGGTGATATCAACCCATTGTAGATCAATATACTAACACAGTAGCACTTGCTTTCATCGGACAGCTGTATTTAATGACAAGTCGGTTACGGATAGATTAATATTATAGTTAATATGCTCAAAATCTGATTGATATTTGATATGTACCGTGGTTCTGTCATTGGTATATCATCTAAATAATGCACAACTTACAATGTGTTGATTGGTGTGTACTATCACCACTTTACGCGTATACCTGCTCTGTGTATGTGATAATAATAAAACGAAATTATGCTATGTAATATACATTTCTTATTAATCTCTGAGCGTTTGGCTAGGTCAAACAGTCACAGGCAAATGCAAATGTGGGCAATTACAACAAGACTTAAGTGGGATCAAGTATAGATGATTGATCGTAGTTAATATTGCAATTATATATCTACCCTCCCCAGATATCGTGACCTTATCGTGTACGCAGTATATCTATTAGAGTATTGCTGAAGTCGCACATAGTCTGTATCGGTTGATCTTGCAGGTATTCAACATAAGCCGGAGATATAGATGATCGATATTGTTTGGCGTCGGTTGAAGCAAGAAACAAATTGGAATTTTGTGGGACTAATTAAGCGTTGCGTCACTAATCTGAATACGTGGTTGCCAATTCGACTGAAATAGTTGTGTGTTACTACAATATGAAACTCGACCGTTGTATTTCGTGTGTATTAGTCCTGGCGATGTACCAAACAGTACACGGTGACCAAAGGTAGGTCGTTGTTTTCTCGTCATTCTCGATATTAATTATACAATATATAGTGATAAATACTTCTCTGACACTGTGACGTTCAGATACTGTTGTGTATAATAGTACGTGTTCCAGGGATATCGATAATTATTTTTTAAAACTTGCTTGTAACGTTTTACACTTCATCTACTCAAATGTTATTACAATATACAGATTGATAATAGGCAAACACCGATTTCATATTATTATTTGCTTCTGAACAACTCCATGGCATATGACTTATGAGAACACATTTTGATAACACGGTACGTCGTTTTGTCATGGCGTTATGGCGACAATTTTCAAAGTTATTGGGACTAAGCAATGTTTACAATCTTTACGCACGATGTATACCCATCCATATAGTAATGAAATCAAAATCTAGGTCAACCAACAATTTAGGGATATAGTAATATTAAAGTGAAGCTTTTCTACTGTAATACACTGGGAAATATCTGCTTTATTTCTTTTTAAATTCAGAGACATGAAATGCCGATCTTTATGTCACGCCAAATTTATATTTTTTTACTATTGTTTGCAATGGTAGAAATGTCCCCCCGTATCACAAGAAATGCAAGGAAATTTAGAATAAACCGGACTTTCACACTCCATATAAGCATTCAACCATGAAACGATCACATTGTCGCGATGAGAGCAAAAAATAAATAAAATCATGCACTTTGCGATGCATTGTTATTGATCTACAGCCGTGCAATCGCAACCAATATATTGACGTCACAGTGTACGCAATAATAAAAGTAACCAGATTAACTATTAACTAGTGTAAGGTTGTTTCACATCACTTATCCTAAATGATTGAGATAGAGTTTAAATAACATTTTATTATATATATATATATATATATATATATATATATATATATATATATATATTGCAACCTCAGTATGCGACGCTAAAATTATGAACATTATTATTGTCTTATGATTAGCGAGGTTAATGAGTAAATGAAATGCCTAATTCTGCACAACTAAGCCAATTTGGTCTGGTCAGTGCGCGCTCACCCAATTACACAAACAAACTCACACACTAACTCATCCGCTCACCCCTCATCATCAACCCTGTTTTATGCTCTGTTCACAAAATACGAATAAATCATTTAACTTTGTACATGTTTCTCAAAATTGAAGGCAAATCAGTTATAATAATAGTTTGTTTATTATGTAGCCGATTATCACGATATGGAGCTACATATATCACGCGTGACTAGTAAATCATAAACAATTATATAATAGTATCCAGGTCAATTATTACCAAGCGAAGTTTACAAAACGATGTGGCAATCATACACTTAACTAACATGCTTCTTCTACTCTGTTTGATAGCGTTGACCTCGATAGTCTTCATCGTTTAATAAACGAGGGCTATGATATGCAAATGAGGCCATTTGTAGACGGTAAGATATATTCTAAGCATTGTGTTTTAGTAACTATATGGGACAAAGTTCGAAAACGTATTATAACACACCATTATCGTTATTTGGACATTGCGTTACGTCACTGATTTAGTCGGCACAAATTCAACTATATCGTTAAACTAGTTTGATAACGATGATGTTTGTGAGTTCAAGCGAACATTTCGCATCGACTATAGAACTGCGTTTAAGAAGGACTCGATATTGTGTGTACGCGTTTCGTAGCGTAAAATAAACCTGCGTGTATGCACCAGGGCGCAATATTTTACACTACGCATCTTTCATGGGTCGGACGTATAGAATAGCATTGGTAGTGTAGAATAATAACAATAATATACGTCTACAGTATCAGATTGTCATAAAAACGATACTACTGTGAATCAGTGAGTCATTCGTTATTGTTGTAGTAACACAGCGCAAAACGCACGACGTGTATGAAAGTGTAGTGTCGATTTCTTTCTATTGAATCTGTTATACATTACGTGTTCATGTGAACTTCTTTAAATGCATACGGAGTGAACTGTGGGGTTAGAATAAAAAAACGCATCAGTTACATTAATTGAAAAAAAACAAGCTTTCGTTATCTATAACATTAGTTCCCGAAGCATTATTCATGCAGAGTTTTCCTATCACCGTCTCCAGGTCCCCCAGTTAATGTATCTGTTGGAATGATGATAACAAGTATTCACTCAATATCAGATATATCGATGGTATGTTAAGTTCTTCTCAATAGCCTAGTCTACATAGTACGTGAAATACATGCTGAGCTATTCAGTCGTTCAGATGAATTCCATCTACAATTACAAAGCATAGCACTTAAAACACTATTTTTTTCTGTAAACATCAGCAGTAACATTGTGTATTTTAACATGATTGCGAGTATGTACAATATGATTCCGTGGTAATAATTACAATGTGGTTAATTGGGTCAGGTGTTTGTTATTGCAATTTGTGTAATGAGCTTCGCCACGTACAATTTACTAAGAATAATATTTTTCAATCTGAGTATTGATGTTAATTATCTATGCGTTTTTACTTTAGAACATCGCTTGCAGTATTGATTATTCGCGCTATATATAGATTGTCCAAATATTTGATGAGTAAACGGACAAAAGTGCTTGGCAATAAGTGGTTCAGGAACGTGGGAGATGTATGTCAGAAAGATGTAGATTTTATTATCCCCGATTAATAGAATCATATCGTAGTGTCAAAGAGTAATGACAATATCTAAGTGAAGAATAATATTAGCTCATATATAGGGTATGTAATCAACAGGATTTTGGCGTAACAATGTTTCTTGTGGAAAATTGGGAGGATCCCCGACTGATTTTTAATGGAACGGACCCAGTGGACCTCCGATCTGGCTCGGAGCTGCTTGCAAAAATATGGACACCCGATTTATACTACGTTAATGTAAAAGAGGGATATTTACATCAGGTAACAACGACAAACAAACAGTTACGTGTAAGCCCAGGCGGTCATGTAACTTACGACATAAGGTAAGGGTTACCTACACGTAGAATATGTAAGTGTTACTTGTCATTGCTGATTTCTTGAGTTGTAAAATTTGATTAATTGTTGCATGGAGTAAGCGTGACCTATGACTGTTATACACTTGGTAATAGGAAATGGTGTGATATACAAGTGACGTGACCTGAATACACATCGTATGGAAATTAATCAGTCTACGTGCTTCTATTAAATCGTGTCGGGAAATATAAGTATTAGCGATCTTGTTTAAATAGAATGTCTTGACAGATGTTATGTATAATATATTCTATTTATGCATTTCCTACAACATACTTTGACATTTAATAGTTTCACAATGTTTAATAGTTGGATGTCCATTTCATTATCTTTCATATCATTCAAAACTCATGACATTAAATCTTATTAATATTATATAGCACATACCATGATACCAAATCTATCATATGTAAGATTATGTATGATGTGCAGAATATGCCCTAATAGCTCTATACATATGTAATGTGTAGTTCACTGTAAAAATCACATACCCAAACATAGTTTAACATACGCCGTATAGAGAAATTTACAACCCAAAAACACAACACAAATGAAAGACACCAATCGAAAAAATCTACAAGAACAAAACAATTAACTAACAAATATTGTCAAATTGGCAGGAGAAACAAATACATGGATCTCGTGATCGCATTTATATGACTGTATTTGCATAAGTGTATTACATAATTAATGAGTGATAAAAACAAGTATCCACTCAGTCTTTTATACTTAACTTTTGGTTTACAATGAGCAAATAAATTAAAATAGTACATGGCAATGATGATTATGCAAATTAACAAAAATCTCTTGGCAAGAGATCCATTTCATCACCTATTGTCTAATTCACTTCGTGTTACTCCTTAGAACAA